TTTTTATTTTTCCAGTTCATGAGGACTGTTTTCTTGGCTATGCATAGGGCAGTGAAAACCATATGGGTTATATTCTTTTCTGAAGTGACATTATCTAAGCTGCCCAACAAACACACTAAAGGGGACACTTTCACTCGTTTTCACAACAAGTGGTAGAAGACGAGTTATGTGACAAAGAACTAAAATAATAACAGCTAAAGATTTTATTCTCTTTATAAAAATATATATTTTTCAGGTTTTCCACCCATAGAGGTTTAGAGGTCAATACTGTGTGAAGTCAGCCTTCACATCAATTATCACATTTACATCGTGAAACATTTACATCATGTTGCATTAATTAAAATGAGCTGCAAATTAAACTGATGTCAGGTGAACTGGTGATTGCAGCATACATGACACACGCAGACCTGAAATAAACAAAGTCAACACTTTGTCCAAAGCATTAGAGTAAGGTCTACAAGCCTGGTGCCACATCGCATCTCTGGATGTTTTTCTCAGTTTTAAGTGTTCTTGAGCACCAGGTTTCTGGAGAGGATTCATTGGGCATCCACTGCTTTTTCACTCCTTTTCAGTCCAGCCATTGTACCTGATCAATGTTTGTTTTGTTTGTTTTTGTTTTTTGTTTGTTTTTGAAAAACAAAAACAAACAAAAAAAAGAGAAATGTGTGTGTGTTTGTTTTTGAACTCGATGGTCAAACCAGCGTTGTCTCTACACATGACAATTTTGTGTCGCAAAATACGTTGGTTAATTTCTTTTGTTGAATCAACAGAAAGTGTCAAAGACAGCAGTTTGACGGACATAAAATTGTATTTTTGGACCAACAAAGTGATTCGAGCTGTTTGCTAAAAATTGGCCCGTCTTGGTTAAAATGACAAAAGAAGAACCTGCAGGCCTAAAACCCGGCTGGCCACTCTCAGCCGTACGGCATGTGGTCGCCTGCTCAGTACACCGAGCTAAACCGGCACCCACAATCGACTCGTTCAGAAAAATCCACCATACATTATCATCTGTAAAGTATTTAACTGGCAACACCTTCATTTATCAGCATGACAGTGATCCAAACAGTCACTACAGATCTGACATGATGGCGGTTTGACAGTGTTTGCAACAGAAATGAACAAGTCTCAGTCAGCAGTGGGTTATTATATCTGGTCTTTGACAACTAATGTGAAGAGAAGCAGTGAAATACAAAGGCACATGCTGTTATCAAAACAATTTATAACCATTTTCTTTCCTTCTGAAGACATGCAAAAACCAAAAAGTTGTCAGACTTATTGGTATTAAAAGGTCGCATCTACGTGGTAGAGATTGTACAGATATACTATACTAATGCAGATATTTACAGTCTGTGTATTTGATTTTGTCTAGGCTCTGGGGATGATGATTACGAGGAACCCATCGTTCAGGATGGGGAGTCAAAGCAACAAGAGTCTGGTAGGTTCACGTAGTCCCTGCTTTTCTGCTCTTGACCATTTGCAAAGGGGTTCCATCATCATAGTTTGTGTCCAGTTTGTGTGGTTTTGTGTACTATCAGATGGCTTTCTTTCTGTGTTTTACTTTACAAGAATGCACGCAGGGAAATGCAGGCTGAACTAGATTAGGAAGGAACACCAGAGGAACCACCGAGTCACAGAATGACATCATTAACTCAACTTACAAAACACGAGAATCCAAAGACTCAGGGAAAGCATAAAGTCCCGAGGCCCTGATATAATTTGCATTAATTATATAAGAATCTTTTTCAGTGTGGCTTCACATCATACTTTGTTGTCTGTCTTTTACCTGTGCAGGTCGTGGTGAGACGGTGCAGAGGATCTTGGATATTCTGCGTTTCTTGGGGGCGATAGTGCTGGCGATGGTTGATGGACTCACTCAGTGGCTTAATTTACTGACTAAACAGTACAGAGAGATTTCTACTGTTTTGTGCAATGAGCGCTACTTCATCATCCAAAAGATTCAGCAGGTAAACACAACAGAGTGTGCAGTATGCACAAGCAAGTGCACATGCACGCACGCACACACACGGATCGTACATATGCATGCATGTGCGTACAAACAAATAGAAACGAACACTAACTACAGTCTGTGTGACTCTGGTGACAGCGCGGTTCAGCAGCAGACTCCAGAGATGATCAGGAATCTCAGGGCAGTGAAAGCTGCACCCTGGAGACGTGTTTGGACGACACCGATGCAGAAAATTCTACCAGGTACAGGTTTGCAGGGTCACCGATGTTTCCTGTGGATTTGATTTGATGTAGCTTTTATCCCTCTGGCCGTGGTGGGGAGTGGCGTCAGTTTTCAAGTGGTCCTTTGCATGAACATAGTTTCTCAGGAGCACCTAAAGGAATTACTTCAATTTTGGCATACATTTTTATTTTGACTGGGGGATAAAATGAATAGAAGTAGGTTGTCAAAGGTTAAAGTCATTATGACCTCAAAAACTACAATATTCACCCATAATAAATGTATTATCCAAGGCAGAAATTCCTCTTAATGTATGGAACTGTCCTACTTCAACACTCTTTGTGCTTGCCATAAAATGGACTGCATAATTCTAGAGTATCTTCTCTGCTTGACTGTTTTCTCCAGCATTTATATTCTATATTCTGAGGCTCTAGTAATGAACAGTGGATTAGTTTCATCCAAATGGTAAAAGGCAGGTCACCAGAGGATTTAAATAGTTGATGTTGATTTAATTCTGTAGATGAATCCACTTCTTGTCCTCAATTTTTGTTGGTGTGTGTCTCAGGTGCCTGGAGGATAGCATAAACCAGTGTACCCCCAAGCTAAGACTCAACAGCAGTGGGAATATCCTAACTCCAAAACCGCCATCCAGCAGTACGGGACTGATCCCAGACTTATCCAACCAGCAGCAAGGCAGACACTCCAGAACAGCCAGTGAGCTGCTGGGAGACAGGTAGATGCTGGGGACACTCTGAGTAAAGTTACCGACACTCACAGGCAGTGATTGTACTTTATGAAACTAGCAGTGTGCCACAAAACATCTCCCAAGCAGCCCAATTCTAGCATGTTTCTATGGAAGCCCGTTTCCGCCACTAAAAAAAAAAAAAAAGGATCCATAACTCAAAATTTTGAGTTATTTTCTCGAAGTTTCGAGTTACTTTCTCGAAATTTTGACATATTAACTTGAAATTTCGATTTATTAACTCGAAATTTTGAGAAAATAACTCGAAATTTTGAGTTATTTTCTCAAAATTTCGAGTTATTAACTCAAAATTTCGAGTTATTTTCTCAAAATTTCGAGTTAGCGCTGCCAATCAGTAATCTACGTGAATGACGTCATTTCCTCGTTACCCAGAAGCTGAAGCGTCAGCTACAAATGCTACAGCTAAGCTAAGTATTACATCCAGTCGCACAGATTGCTGAGTGTTTTCAGCCTGGCTTCACAAATGATGAAATCCCTGTTATTAGCTGAATCACACGGTGTTACTATCAGCAAACGCACTCGCCAAAGCGCCAATTTGTTGGGATCCGTTTTTGAGTGCGTGCCTGCACCATATGCTTCCGGGTAACAAGAAAGCGACCTCATTCACACATATTTTTGATTGGCAGAGCTAACTCGAAATTTTGAGAAAGTAACTTGAAATTTTGAGAAAAGTAACTCGAAATTTCGAGTTAATAAGTCGAAATTTTGAGAAAGTAACTCGAAATTTCGAGTTATGGATACTAGCTGTTTTGTTTTTATTTAGTGGCGGAAACGGGCTTCCATAAGTTTCAGTGTACTCTCTCCCATTCCCTCTTCCTTCACTCAGATTCTTTCTTTTGCACTGCATTCATGTGCAAACGTGTGGTCCTGACCAGCCTTGTGTCTCTACAGGCAGTTTTTGATCGAGGAGTTGGAACAGAGCAGAGAGTTTTTTTCCAGCCAGAGCCGTCTGCTGAAGATGCTGTTTGCCATGTACAACCTGCTGTCAGCCAACTCTGAGCTGGTCTGCTATTTCATCATAGTGTTAAATAATGTGGTCAGTGCCTCCGTCATATCGCTGGTCCTGCCCATACTGGTGTTCCTGTGGGCTATGCTGTCTGTTCCAAGACCAACCAAAAAGTTTTGGATGACTGCTATAATCTACACGGAGGTAAGAACAGAGAAATGTTGTTATTTTCATCGTGTGGGCTTTTTCAGTTCATCCATAAATATCTTACTATGTTGCTCAGTATCATGTGTAGCACGTATGAGTGCCTCTGTCCACACCTCTGTGCAGTGGAGAGTCAGCTAGATGCAGCTGTACTTGTATCCAGTAAACTTAATTTGTCCAAATTATTCAGACTAATATCTTGTGTTTTATGATTTAAAGCAGCCAATCGAAAGCTGGCTCATCTGTATATGACTTCTTTAACAGAGGACGGCGGGTCGGGGCTCTTTGCTGGTTTGACCGCTGGCTTCTCTGCTTCTTTTCAGGTTATGGTAGTGGTGAAATATATTTTCCAGTTTGGATTTTTTCCTTGGAACAGTAGTTTCGAGATGACCCTTGATAAGCCTTTCTTCCCACCTCGCATCCTTGGCCTGGAAAAGACTGACAACTACATCAGATATGATCTTCTTCAGTTGCTGGCTCTGTTTTTCCACAGATCCCTGCTGATGGTAAGTCCACCACTGATTTCGGCTCGAGGAGCCTGCAGAGTTGATTTCAGTAGGCCCTTGTCTGTGTGCTCCATGATGAGTGTTCAGACAGCACTGAGAAAAGGGGACATTTCTTTGTAATTTGGTTTGCCTGTTTGTGTACACACAGCGGTATGGCCTGTGGGACCATGAAGGCCCCATGGAGGATCACAGCGCTTCTCCAGAAACGTTTAATGTTGGAGTTAAAACTAGAGAAGGAGATGAAGATGGAAAGCAAAAGGCAAAAAGAAAAAAAGAAGAGAGAGAGGAAGACGGAGTCAGTACAGCCTCCACGCTGGAAAACCTGGAAATAACTGAAATCAGCCAAATTAAAAAGGTTGGTGTGAATACGAGATGTTGTTTGGTCTCGGTTACTGGGCTGTTTTTAAAAGAATGCTTTGGGACATTCATTAAAAGCTGCAGGATCATGTAACACAATCAGCACATTTACAGTCACCTGCCATTTCATTAGTTACACTTCGCTAGAACGGGTTGGACCTGCTTTAGCATCAGAGTCGTCACGGTGATGGAGATTACAGTGAACTCGTCGGCGTTTTCAAGAAATCCGTCTGAGATTAATTGAATTTTGTGACGCAGAACATTATCCTGCTGGAAGCAGCCTTTAGAAGATGGGTAGCAACAGGTAGGCTGTGGGGTTTAAATGACGGGCAGGTTGGTACTCAGAGGCCACGAGTGTGCCAAGAAGTACAATCCCAGCAGATCAGAGGTTTCAGAAATACTCAGACTGGCCCGTCTCGCACCCACAACCACGCCACCTTCCACGTCACTTAAATGAACTTTCTTGCAGGTTATCTTGAGCAAGTCTACATCCCTAAATGCATTCGTTTGCTGCTGTGGGATTAT